CAGCAGGAAGGTATCTTCTTCCAAAGAGCTTTCAGGAAGCACTGAGGAAAAAGAGAGATAATTTAATGAAGTAATTCAGGTAATCATGACCGACAGGCCAGCTGTTAAGATTTGTAGAAAGACAGCAGAAGAATACGCTTGATTTCACGCATAGCTTGAAAAGATCAGCTCACAGAAGCCGGACTGCTTAGAAATATATCAGGAAAGTAGTCAGATAAAAATAGTTTTGAATGACCAACATAATTTAAAGGTAGCTCCTGTGAAGTAATTCAGTAAACTCGTTGCAAAATAGAATTCAACCCCAGCACATTTCCAGGAAAGGCTCTTGGACAAAAGCGAAAATGAAGGTTTTTTAATTTTTCATTTCCCATGCAAACCCCCCCTTCCAGATCACACACTAGGTTATTTTTGTACTGAACTTTAAAAGGAAACAAGTTATAATAAAAATGCCTGCTGTGAAATTTATACACAAACTAAAAATAAAACTAAAATAACTAAAAATATTATGGTGTGCAGTCTAGAAAGAACATTTAAGGAAAAGGGAAACAAAGCTCAGTGCAACTGCCGGTTGTGGGGGGCATCAACAGAACACAACAGGCTACCACATGCAAATGTATCAGACAACAACTAATATCCTCATAGGTTGTTTTATGCAGCACTGAGAGGGAAGTTGTAAGACTAGACTATCAGGCAAAGTACACACAAATTTGGTTATACCATGCCTGGACCTGGACAGAGCCTGCGTCGGGTCTCCCAGTGCTCCCAGTTCTGACGTAAGAATGAACATGGTGAGCGTGCGCTCTAGGCCCACAGCAATATTCATCCATCTACTACATATCCCACCCATGTACCATTAAAAGCTTAGCTCACTACAAATCTGGATTTCTGTAGGTAACTTGCTGATACCCCAAGTCATAATTTTCCTGACGCAGTCTCCATTACGAGCATTATTCAGACGCTGGGCTGTGCCTTCCTAGCACAGTAAAAAAGTGCCTGGAAAAAGCTCCATTTTACCAGTTAGAGGAAAGGGAGCAGCCAGAAATGGACAGATAATGCATATCAACACCTGGCTACATGGCTGGTGCCGTCGTGAGGCTTTTGGCTTTTATGACAATGGGACATTCTTTGATGAGTATGGCTTGTTAGAGAGGGATGGGATCCACCTGCCTAGAAGAGGCAAGGGAATCTTTGGCAGCAGGCTGGCCAACTTGGTGAGGCAGGCTTTAAACTGAAGGACTCGGGGGGTGGGGTCCAAGATGGCAATGTTCACGCCATCATATCCAACTGGGGAATAAGCCAGGCCAACCACAGTAGCAACAAAAGTTCCTTAGCTGACTCACAAGAAGAGATCCAGAAGGCCAACCATCTCAAGGGTGTGTATGGCTGTGGTGGATCCTCTTGTACCCCTTCAGGTAACCTGTATGCTCGATTACCTCTCTGAAATGCCTGTACACCAACGCACGCAGCATGGGGGATGAGCAGGAAGAACTAGAGATCTGTGTGCAGTTGCAGGGCCATGATCTCATTGCAATTACAGAGACATGGTGGGATAGCTCTCATGACTGGAATGCTGTCATGGATGGCTATGTACTTTTTAGGAAAGTGACACAAGCGGGACAAGGTGGTGGAGTTGCTCTTTACATGAGAGAGCAACAGGAATGTATCGGGCTCTGCCTAGGGGTGGATAAAGAACATGTCGAGAGCTTACGGGTAAGAACTAAAGGACAGGTTAATATGGGAGACACTGCTGTGGGTGTTTACTACAGAGCACTGGATCAGGAAGGGGAAGTTGATGAGGCCTTCTACAGACAGCTGGAAATAGCCTCATGATTCACATGGGGAACTTCAACCACCCTGATATTTGCTGGAAAGGCAACACAGCCAGGCATGCACAGTCCAGGAGGTTTCTGCAGAGCACTGATGGTAACTTTTTGACACAGGTGGTGGAGTAACCAACAAGGAGAGGTGCGCTGCTGGACCTTATGCTGGCAAACAAAGAAGGACTAGTTGGGGATGTGAAGTTTGGAGGTAGCCTTGGCTGCAGTGACCATGAGATGGTGGAGTTCAGGATCCTGTGTGGAAGAAGCAGGGTAAAAAGTAGATTTACAACCCTGGACTTCAGGAGAGCTGACTTTGGACTCTTCAAAGAGGAGGAATCCCACGGATTAAGGGTCTAGAAGGAAGGGGGGTGCAAGAGAGCTGGTTAATACTCAAGCACCACTTTCTCCAAGCTCAAGATCGGTGCATCCTTATGGGTAAGAAATCAGGCAAAGGAGGCAGGAGACCTGCATGGATCAGCAAGGAGCTTCTGGAAAAACTCAGATGGAAGAAGGAAGTTTACAGAATGTGGAAAAAGAGACTGGCCACTTGGGAGGAATATAGGAACATTGTCAGAGTTTGAAGGGATGAAATGAGGAAGGCTAAGGCCCACTTCGAATTAAATCTGGAAAGGGATGTCAAGGACAATAAGAAGGGCTTCTTCAAGTACATCAGTAGTAAAAGAAAGACTAGGAAAAATGTGGGCCCGCTGCTGAATGACGTTGGTGCCCTGGTGATGAAGGATGCTGAGAAGGCGGGGTTAGTGAAGGCCATCTTTGCTTCAGTCTTTACTGCTAACACCAGCCCTCAGGAATCCCAGACCCTGGATGCAAGAGACAGAGCCTGGAGAAAGAAAGACCCTTCCTTGATCGAGGACGATTAGGTTATAGATTATTTAGGCAAACTCAACGCCAACAAATCCATGGGCCCTGATGGGATGCACCCACGATTGCTGAGGGAGCTGGCAGATGTTATTGCAAAGCTACTCTCCATCATCTTTGAAAGGTCATGGAGAATGGGAGAGGTGCCTGAGGACTGGAGGAAAGCTAATGTCATGCCAGTCTTCAAAAGGGGAAAGAAGGAGGACCCAGGAAACTACAGGCCAGTCAGCCTCACCTCCATCGCTGGAAAGGTGATGCGACGGCTCATCCTGGATGTCACCTCTAAGCATGTAGAGGAAGAGAAGGTTATCAGGAGCGGTCAACATGGATTCATCAAGGGGAAATCATGCTTGACTAAGCTGATAGCCTTCTATGATGGCATGACTGACTGGCTGGATGAGGGGAGAGCAGTGAACCTTGTTTACCTTTATTTAGAAGGCTTTTGACACTGCCTCCCATAACATCCTCATAGCTAAGCTTAGGAAGTGTGGGTTATATGAGTGGACAGTGAGGTGGATCAAGAACTGGCTGAATGGCAGAGCTGAGAGGGTTGTGATCAGTGCCACAGAGTCTAATTTGCGGCCTGTAATTAGTGGTGTTCCCCAGGGGTCAGTACTGAGTTCGGTCTTGTTCAATGTATTCATCAACGACCTGGATGAGGGGACAGAGTGTACCCTCAGCAAGTTTGCTGATGACACAAAACTGGGAGAAGTGGTTGACACACCAGAAGGCTGTGCAACCATGCAGCAAGATCCAGACAGGCTAGACAGTTGGGTGGAGAAGTACCTAATGAAGTTCAACAAGGGCAAGTGTAGGGACCTGCACCTAGGGAGGAATAACCCCATGCACCAGCACAGGTTAGGTGTTGACCTGATGGAAAGCTGCTCTGCTGAGAGGGACCTGGGAGTCCTGGTGGACAACAGGATGACCATGAGCCAGCAATGTGCCGTTGTGGCCAAAAAGGCCAATGGTCTCCTGGGGTGCATTAAAAAGAATGTGGCCAGCAGGTTGAGGGAGGTTATCCTCTTCCTCTACTCTGCCCTGGTGAAGCCACATCTGGAGTACTCTGTCCAGTTCTGGGCTCCCCAGTTCAAGAAAGACAGGAAACTGCTGGAGAGAGTCCAGTGGAGGGCTACAAAGACGATCCAGGGAATGGAGCATCTCTCTTATGAGGAAAGACTGAGAGACCTGGGTCTGTTTAGCCTGGAGAAGGGAAGACTGAGGGGGGATCTCATCAATACTTATAAATACCTAAAGGGCAGGTGTCAAGAGGATGGGGCCCGACTCTTTTTCAGTGGTGCCCAACGACAGGACAAGAGGCAACAGGCACAAACTGGAACACAGGAAATTCCATCTCAACAGGAGGAAAAGCTTCTTTACTTTGAGGGTGACAGAGCACTGGAACAGGCTGCCCAGAGAGGTTGCGGAGTCTCCTTCTCTGGAGATACCCCAAATCTGCCTGGATGTGTTCCTGTCCAACCTGCTCTATGTGAACCTGCTTTGGCAAGGGGGTTGGACTAGATGACCTCCAAAGGTCCCTTCCAATCCCTACCATTCTGTAATTCTGTGGAAAAGAAAGATTAGAAATTATAGGTTTAACTCCATGTCAGGAGAGCCTAAGTTCCCTTCCATTGTTTAAGCTAGTTGTGATTCACACGGAGAATAGCACGGGCAGTACAGGTCACTAAGGAGAGGGACATAAGGCAAAACGCTGTGATGTGCTGCTCAGTATGACTTTTAACCACACAGAGGATTAGCTTGCTCTGTCTGAGAGAGCAAGTAAATAGGCATTATATGCTCAATACATACTCTACAATTTAAAATGTTCCAGGAAATGTCATTTTCAAGAAAGTTACATGATAATGCCACTGTAATTTCAATTAACTATGTAATCTTTATGCAGTAAATAAATGAAAATCTCAGGCACAAGACATCAGAATCCTACCCCTTCACATGTGATTCACCAATCAAAGGCAAAAAGCACTATTGATCTATACCTGGAAATGTAACAATCTGAATCCACATGTCTAACAGACTGAGGGAGCATGTTTACATTTTTTGCTGAAACAAAATCTTGAAGGTCATCATAATGAAAAAGTTTGACATATGCATATAATTTTTCAAAGTGTATGGTTCTGATACACGGGCTGAACACTGCCTTTGATGCATTTGACCATTCCATCTCTGAAGTGTATCCCATTAGTTGCTAAATTAATCTCTTACATTTACCTTTTTTATTTGGGTTTCTTCCACTCATTTTTTCCACCTGAGAAATGGCTTCTTCCCAGCAGCTGTTGCTTGCCTGGATATGAGGCTGAATAAACTTTAGTTTTTGTTCCAGAACCTGATGGGCTTCTGTTGTCAACTCAGGTGTCTCCTTAGTGCTAACAAGTTTTTCAAGTTCATCCTCAAGAATTATTACCCTAAGTGATGAGGAGATGAACAGAAATAAGTAATAATAAATATTTGACTTCACCATTCCTTCAAGTATTTCATTTGTTATCCTGTTATTTTCTTCACGTTTTAAGAAACTAACTCAGCCAACTCCTCAAAGATGCCCCAAAAATTTCAAAAATAAGATCCTTTTCTCCATGTCAAGATACATTGCTCACCTGTGTTCATTACAGTAATGCTTACGTGTAAGATTAAAGGAGTAGGACAGTTTCAACTATTTCATCAAGGCAGTGATGAATCTTTAAAAATATTTACTAGGTAGCTACTATGAGCTGAACTTTCTTATCAAGCTTTTGGTATGTTGCAAAATCCATGGAAGATAAGTATGTTTTCGGATTTTTTCAAGGGAGTGACAAAAGCAAAGCAAGACCTTAATGTACTGCTTAGCTTTGGATTTTCACCAGATACTTAAAGAATAACCAGGAAACAATATGAGATCCCATATTTAACCGAGGATCTTTGACCCCATGCTAATGTGAAGATATGCCTATGATTGCAATGACTATACGTATCTGCCTTTTTTTGGCATACGAGCTGACAACCCAAAGTCTGAAGCCTTCTTCCTTACAGGCATATTCTCTTAATTCATGTGTAAACTTACTCATTGAGCAGCGCCTTGAGGTGAAGCTGCAAGCTGCGTACTGCTGTCTGAAGGCTGTTCAGCTCTCTTGACTTCTGCTTTGTTCTGGCTGGCCGTTCAAAACCCGACTGATGCTGAGTTTCGAAGTACCGATAAAACTCATAGCTTCGCTTAAGCTCCTCTAAGCAGGCAGCGTGTGTGTGAGGTAGGCCTTGAGTCACATCAGACAAGATATGATGAGGCAGCCGTTCGGGGGAGACCAAGGGCTTGGGGGATGCGTTGGCTGGGGAGAGGAGCAGCACCAGCCTCCTGAAGAATTCTGAACTCTGCCCTACCCAGAGCTGAAAGAGGACCTGCAAAACAAGGTAGGGTTAGCTCTGTGCACCTGGGAAGACGGGCAGCATACAAAGTAAATGTACAGATAAACCATGGGAAAACATTTCTTGGCCAGCCACAGAACTTTGAAAAACTGAGAAAATCCACTGAATGTTTTTGAAGGGTATTCCAGACCATGTGAGTTTCAGATCTTGTGAACGTTAGGTGACTGTTAATTCTTCGATGAAGGATATTATACGCAATTATGCTCAGAAAGTTGACAGAGGCCTAAAAACTCGTATTCTCATCAGGCAGTCTCATTATTTGCTATAATCTCCACATACCCTACAGCTCATAAAGGGCTGCCAAAATTCCAGTGGCAGCAAAGACATTTTTTCCTTTATAATGCCAAGCTATCATTTCTGCGATCTACTAACTACTGCATTGCCCCACACCCAGCCTTGAAATGTTGAGTCTAATTGCACTGTAATTCAACAAAAGACATTCTACATCTGAGCTGCTAACTTTTTCCTTTTCTTCAGCCAAAGCGAGAAATTTCACCAGTGCCACTAAGGAGGAAAGACTTGTAAGAAGTTAATTTATTGACAATGTTATATATGGTACAAAAGAGGGCAGTCCACCTGGAAGCAAGGAAACCCACAATTTTGATTTCTCGAGAACTTCCACTTCCAATGAAGTGAAAAGAACTGTTTTCTTTAGTTTAGAGAAGACTGTTGGCTCAGTAGACCATGACAGAACAGTAGAATCTTATATTTTTTAAATGATAAGGAAAGGTTATGACACTTTTCTCTACAATATTGGTCCTTTTTAAAAGGAATCCACTGTAGGTAAGTATGAGGTGTAGTCTGAAATCTGTTCTCAAGCATTTCAGGCTGAGGAAGAGAAAGTAATTACTCATCATGGTTTTTTCTGCCCCCTTCCACAGAACAGGACTAATAATTTACTTGTTCTGAGATTTTGGATCTATAGGATTTGTGATAATGTATTTACATCTTTGTACTCATACCACTATAGACAAGTAGCAGCTTTTTTCAGTGTGCGAACAATCAAGAGCAAATCATTCAGAATAGTAACACAAAAAATTAAATGCCTTCAGATAGATGTCGTTTGATATACCCAAGGGTTTATAAAAAAATACTTGGATGCAAAATGATGAAATATTCCAAAAGAAAAAAATAATTCTCAATTAAAAAAAGATGGTTATGAGAAGCAAGAACACAGAATGATATGAAATGAATTTGGGGCACATGCAAGGCAGAGATTTGGCTGGGTGCTAAAATAAAACAAATGGGCAGCAGTCACCCAAGTGTCTGTGAAGGTGTGGTGCCCTGGACAGAAAGTCAAGAGCTCATGCTATAACAAACACAAAAGAAGACCAATCCCTTTCACCAGACATAATGCAAAAGCAGTGAAAAAGTAGCATATAAAAAGTAGTGACCTTCAGTAATTGACAATAAGAATCAAAAAACCTACCTGAAAAAAGGCACAATGATGAGAGAAAAGGAAATTCCAAATCTGTTTAGGGTTGCAAATAGCTTGCTCTGCCAGTGACTTTTGATGATTTTTACTGGCACTTAAACTTCACCCAAAACATCCAACTGGCTCTCCTCAGCTTGGATCAGTATTCAGTTTCAAGCCAAAAATTTCAGTTAAATTACTGCAAATTGCAGGTAAACAAAGACTTAGCTTACAAGCTTGGGCAACACTGACTGGCTTCTTGCACTTAAAAAGAAGAGGGTGCATAAGTGGGCTTGGTTGCAATTAGAACTTCAGCTAATGAAAAGGCAAGAAAAAAATCCCAAAAGCTTACATCTGATGTAGCTCTTAGCTTACAACTAATTAGACAAAGCCTCAAAGCGTAGCAACCACTATTACTGGTAACATTTACTGTCAGAACAAAAGAAGTCAAGGTCTAGGAATTAAATGAATAAAAAGCAACAAGAGCTAACCCCATAAAAAGACAGAAGTCACACAATAATGGAATTTTCCATTAAAAAAAAACACATTAAAAGGGAATTGCCTCAGCAGAGAACCACTAGAGTGTAGACGGCTTGCATTCAAATTAGATCTTCTTCCCAACTGCAAACATTTACTCATGCAAATTAAAAATGCTTAACATCTCAAAACAAAATAGATAAAAAGGCCATTATATGGTTGGCATTCTGTTCAGTTAAATGTTTTTCAAAGATCAAAGAACCACACTGGCTCATGGCAGCAGGGGTCCAAGCTTATGATTTCTACGCCTCAGTGTAACTAAATGCAGCTATTCCCTTTGGCAATTACAACTAATTTCTATCTTTCCATGTCCATCCTTTTATTCAAGTCAAGAGATTAGCTAAAAAAGACATGAATACAAATCTGGAAATTAGTCAGCTAGGATCAAGTGAAATCAGAGAGCAAAAGATCATGTTTAAGAAGGAGATGGATCAAGCTGACTATAAAACACTGACTTGAATTTATGTGATTTGCATAAAAAAATCCTCAGGTTGTACTGTGCAACTTCTCTTCAGCTATATGCAAGAAGAAATCACCTAAATGTCAATAAACATAGAAACACACGATATGAGACTGATTACATCTCGCCCTCAGTTGACTGCATTACTACAGGGTAGTACCTACAAGCCACGGGGCTTCACGACAACTGAAATAGATTTTCATGAGGAGCCTTTGTGGATGCATATGTCCTTTTAGGAGAGGTTACCTTGAGTGCAGGCAAGCTGAAGCCATCGGTGAGATTGTGTGCCTCCTCTTCAGATACCTGCTCTTCACTCAGTCCCAGACCCAGCTCCTTAAAGGGGACTACACAGATGTAACTGGTCACATTGTCGCTCTCCGAGTTCAGAGGGTAGGTTTAGCCAGAGTTAAGGTGGTTAACAAAGCAACTTTTGCATTAAACACACAAAAAAAGGAAAAAAACCCCAAACACCCAGCTAATAAGGTTTCTTATTTCTAGAAATCTATATGACAGAACATACATTCCACCCAAATCTACCTGAATCCTGTTTAGTTGAACATTTTGCAATCCTTATTCAGAGCAAAAGTTTTAAAGGCTCTTAGAAGGATGAGAGCGAAGACATTGACAAAGCACCTACATCTAACTACAAACACATGAAACGAAAAAAAAAACAGATTGATGGAAAATCCCTGCACCCCTTTCAAGTGAGGAAAATATTTCATCTTTAAATCTTAAGTTTCCAAGAAGTATCTCATGTCAATCTTAAACCAGAAATCATATATGTAACAGAGGAAAGAGGAGAACAATTCTTGTGCAATTTTAAGTTTCTAAGGTAGCCTAACCAAACTCAGGAGGATGGGAATTCCCTGCGAGTTCTGTCTGTGGAGGGACTGACTGCTCAAAGATCTCTACAATAACTGCTCTTTGACATTTCAAACAGTACCGTGAAAAACAGGAGGTCCCAGATTGTCGTACCATTAATTTTATTGATTATATCACTGTAAAGCCACCATCATCTTGGCATAAACAGTGGCAACCTATTATCTTCCAACACTATTCAGCACATTTAAATTCTGAGTATGAAAATGTACATTTCCAGTCCTCAGAAACGCTTAAAAAGTGGGAAGCAAGCACAATATAACTGATGCCAGAACACACATAAAAAATAATTATTAGGCTAGGCAGCATTTATTTTAAAATAGCACTAATTTTAAGCTAACCTCATGCTGGGAACAGGGAAGGAGGAACAGTTCAAGATTTCTGCACATTTTTGGATAATTACCCAGTCACAAAATAGTGAAATTTGCTTTAAAGCACAAAACTTACAACCTATGGTCATAAGCATATTTGTTCCACAGCAATACATAAAAAAATACATATTTGTGAAGCATTCATGAAAATAAGGCCTTAATTTAAGCTATCATTTTTTTCATTTATCTTTTGATTCACAAACTGAATGCTCTCATCTCTTGGGGCACATAATGCCGCTTAGAAGCACCTGTCTCTTGTCCAACTACTGTGTTTTCTGGGGAAGCTACAAGTTCCACCCGCTTTCACTCCCAAATTTTCCACCTGCTAAATCCTCATAGGATTAAACTTGTAATAATGATTTGCTCAAGAAAATTTTTACCACTTGAGTAGAAGTACATTACATAAAATAAAATTTCTGCGGTCCAGGAAACAGCAATACTAAGTGTCTATGCTCTAAACAAACAACTACATTTCTCCCTAATTTCTCTCCAAAGTCCAGGAAGAAAGAAGCCTATTAAATGTTCTCCAGAAGCATGAATGCAGGCAAAAACCTGCAATGCAAATCACTCAGAAACACAATATATTGCTGCCACCAGCTGCTGCCTCACATAAACACGGTGTCTATTCTAACTTAACCTGACTGCATGCCCAGCAGATGGAGCATATGGGATGAGGATGGTAACTCCACCATAGATAGAAAAGTCAGCTCAAAGCCCTTCAGGACCAGTTATCTCAGAGACTAATTATATTCCTTGTTAATCATTTCCCTCAAAAAAACCCGATTTCCAACAGCATGAAGGCCAGTCTGGACAAAGCAGTTTGGACATGTGAATTTCAAGCTCATGCTAAAAAAAAATAATCCAGGGAATCTCTCAATGTGTGGTTTGACCAAAGGAGCCACTTATTGACATTATGTCTCACCTAGGGATTCCCAGTGGTCTCCCATACCTCCTGCCTTGCCCTCCTCTATTTTTGCCGTCCCACTCCCATTTCTATGTGTTAGATGAAAGCAGAGAACTGATCCCGTGTCCCCATTAGCTTCCTAAGGACTAAACCTTTAGAAAGTTTAAACACATACACACAAACATATAGATGTACACAAACACATTTCCTTCATTTGCTTTGCTCTAAAATGCAAGTATTTTTAGTGCTAATGTTTTCTATTAAAGCCAAAATACAGTAACTAACCTTAGGTTAGTTAAATTTTTCTATGTATTTGTGAAAACATTTTATTCATCTGTTTAACCTACATTCCTGATTAGCGTGGAAGAAGAGAAGGCAAAGCTACTTAATAATAAATTGTTAGATCCGGAATAAAATGTCTATACAGTGAAAATCTAACCTCTGTCAGGCAGCCAATCTTATTTACCTATAGAAAAGCAAGAACACTGATGTACCCCTGTACATAACAATTTAATATTTGTACCTTGCTCTTCAAAAGCACATTCCCATCTAAAGATCTAGCAGCAGGGCCTCACAATATCCCTGAGAAATCCAAGCTGCTCTGTTATAAAATTCTCACCTGCTCACCAGGCAGGAAGGGATGAGCAAAGTATGTGATCAACTGGCTGGTCAAGGAAGAAACTTCACACTGAAAAATGCCCAGGTATCTTTACACAGACCTTCCAGCATCAGATTTTGGATTTAGTTTTTTTGATCCAAAAAGGGTACGGCTTTTTGTTTAGCTTACTGCTTTCTCGTGTGAGCTTTCTCTTTCCCAAGTTAAAAAAATACGTCTTTTTCTAACGTTTCATGATGCAATAACTGAATTTTTACAGAGGAGAAGGAATAAATTTTTACTAGATCTACTAGAGGGTATTCACATTTTTCCCTGTGCTCAGTGCATCTCAGACACAGAATGCATTTTATACCCATTCCACCTTAATGGGGTAAAACAGCATTCAGTTTAAAATACTACTATCCCATGTCTGTTTTTATAACGCTATGCCTTGCCAACAGAGAATGACACCTTACACTTAAAACAAAAATAAAGTTGCTTGAGTTTATATGATCCAACACCCAGGTCCTACCTATCAATATAGTTCAATGGAAATAGAGTATCACGCCACCTTGCACCAGCTGAGGATGAGACTATTAACATCATCCAGTAACATAAGCTATAAAGTTTCCTCCATCCAGCTTGAATATAATTAAATCAGTGAATAAACCATAGATTCCCATGACGCAGAACCCACAAGGCTCTTAAGTATAAAAATATTAAGCAACTAGCATGGCAACTGAAGTATTGCCTGAGTTATTACACAATTCAATGGAATATAGTGCAGAGATTTGTTGAGCGAGTAGTGACTGGTCTGCATAACATCTTGTAAATACTTAACCCAAAATGCCTAATTTCTAGTTTAAGCTTTTAGCCGTTGCATCCTGCTATACCTTTATCTTCCAGATTAAAAGAGAAATATTCTTTTATTTTCTCTCTTTTGCCTTTCTCTTCTATGATTTTGAGCAACGAACTCTTCCTGATACGAGCAAATCAGAATAAGAAAGGCATGAGAAAATGCTGAATGGTTTCTGCAAGCACCCAACTGTCATTTCACATAAAATGTAAGGAATATGACTTTCCACTTCATGAAATACTACTGGTCCATCAAGTTTGATAGATCTGGTATAAGGCTAAAGTATAATTGTATATTTTTTCTGTTTTACACGGGAACAAATTTTGGTTAGGAAGGTACTAATTTATTCTACTTGCTGAAGGCGGCTGTCTAGCTAAAAGGGGGCACATTAGCCGCAAGCAAGTCTTACTAAACTTCTAGTCTTGTTGAAGTGAGTAATGATAACATATCAGGTTTATGCAATTCGATTTGCCATGAATAAAGCTGTGAATTAAGATTTTTAATTCTCTGTAACAGGTTCATCAAATAGATTTCCCTCTAACACATTTGATATATACATTACCATAAAATCCTGATTTGCTGCAGATATTTTTGTAGGATAAATAATACTGATGGCTATAAAATCTACACTTAATGGATTAGCATAGATCAATATATCACCTAACATTTAAGATGTCTTTATTAATTTATTTTTACTTAGTCACTCATTTATATCTACAATTAAGATGAATACTTAGATTAGCCAGTTTTTAAGACTCAGCCCAACAGTTACCAACTCAGGCCCTCAATTATATGTTCTTCCTTGTCTCTCTTGAAGTTTCACATAAAGCAAGTGGCTTAAGTTCAAAGCAGTTCCCCTTTGGCTTCCAGTAGGATTACTCTTACTGATTCAAAGTATGAATTTGATATTTACATCAGACATGAACAAATACATTAAAGTATATGTTTAGCAACAAAAAAATCTCTCAAGGCAGTGTAAAATAAAGCAACAATAAGCTTTGCAGTTTGCATTTGTTGACAAAATGAGATACAAATCTATAAATGTTAAGATTAAACATTTCTCTATTTTACTGTATAGCTTTAAAGCTCTAGATTTAAAACAATGTATGTATGAAAATTCACATTAGTATTTAGCTCAAAAGTACGTCTGTACAACATCATTCACTGAAATGACTTTTTCTGGGAAAAAAATTGCCCCACTGAAATAGATTTTTCTTATTCCTGAACACTTTTTTGACTTAACATTTTGTAATGCAACCTGTCTTAGAAAACAGTTCCTATAAGGCTGTTCGGCTGATTTTGTTAAGCACATACAAATGCGTATTTTCAAAGTAGAGAAAATTATCAGCCCTTATTAAGCTGTAAATGAGTAAATTGATCTTGTTGCAAATTATGTTTGAAAGGGATATTCTGACACAGTAAGCTTGAAACATAATTTGGCTACAGATATTTCTGTTAAGTTATGAATATGTAACAATGTTTTAAATGAAAGCTTAACTTAAATCAAAGTGTACCTTTTACTGCAGCAGAAAATTTATTTCTATGGTTTTTATATTACTTTAACCATTATATGTAATAATAGACATGTCTCAGTTCAAGACATGTTTACCATAGCCTTAAGGCAACAATTAACTTCACTGCATTATAAATTTCTGTCTCAAATTTCTAGGTTCATTATAAGAAACACAAGGATGAAGGAAAACAAGGCATACTTCACGTTATCATCCTTTAGTAGCCAGTATACCGCTCAGGAAGCCCAGCCACAGACTAGGACCTTATTTTGATAACTGGACATCACACAGAATGGGTCTCTGAAGTCAAAGGCTCACCACAGTTGTTGAATGATAAGTGTCATGCCCATGTCACAGTATCAACTGAGTACTGTCAACCAAGGAAAGCAAACTGTAATGTGGAAGTTTATTTCCCATTTATACATGCACATAAATGTTTCCAAGAAATGCACACTCCGTGGTTCAAAGCAGTGCCTGTCCATGTATTTGCTCACACTCTTAAGAAATTACTACTTCGTTATTCTTTAAAGACAAAAATGGCCCTGAAGAATGATCAGCCATCAGTTAAAATGGAACTAAGCTTTGATCCTTAGTGTATTAGCTAGGAAGATTCAAATTTGTTGCCCTTGAGACGAGGAGGCGATTCACATATTAAATTCCTACTGAAAATTGTTCCAAGCAAAAATAATTCTGTTTTCCACTTGCCTAAACACAGAGATACATCTGTTCTGCTACAAAAATACAAAGCGATATCCAGTAAAACACAAAATGTTTATTTAAACAGTATTGCGACTAAGCAAAGAACATAGGTTTGGGGTTTTTTTTATGTCATTTGTAATATTAATCCAAATGTTAAATATTTGGAATGTTTCTCTAATATCTTTTTCTCTAATAAAAGCTGTGGCCAGTGTAAATCACTATTAGTACTACTGGATTCATGTCTCTCAAAATGCTCAGAAAAAGCAAATTTCAAACAGCAATTCATTCGTTCATACTCAGATAACCTAGAGGAGTTAAAGTCGAGAATATCCTCTGATTTTGTGCAAAGCAGAGCTTACTAAAAGGAACTATAAAACTCAGAATTGGGATCTCATTTCCAGACTCTGGATGGAAGTTTCTTTTCTTTAATTTATCAACATTCCTTTCCTTCAATTTATCACCTCACTCCTTTGCTTAATCTCCCCAGTTCCTCTTTCTCCTTGCTGTAGGCCAGATTTGTGCTAACAACCTGATGACGGACAAGGGCATTAAAGTTGTCACAAGTGGCAGCTGTGAATGCTTTCAACATGAAGGAATCTTTGGCCCCTCCAGCATAAGAGTACTATTTAATTGCACAAGGCACTGGGACCTATTTGAAAGATGCTCCTTGCCATCGATGCCCATATAATACACATACATTTTCAGGCATTCATGATACGCAAGGAAAAATTCAAAATAAGGCAAACTGGAACTACCTTGAAGCTGCTCTTAATCATCCTGGTGAGGAGGAGGAATCCTTTACTCACCTTCCTTACATTTAAGTTCCTTGCTTTCAGTATTCGTGTACTGCAGAGTTGGCCCGGCCTGCATCTCAGCTCACATGCTGCCACTCTACCACTACGTTCTACACAAATGTAATGCTTCTCTCTCCATTTTTCAAGAACCTATACACATGCTATTTTTGGCTATTTATTTCTGCTGGCCCTTCGTACTGTGATATGTCCATGATAATTTGGTATAACGGAACTTCCGTCTTAAAAAAAACTTTCAAAGACTGATATAAATGTCAAATTATCCAAAGTAAACAAAACTTTCTTCTCTCCCAATCCTTAATTTAAAAGCCATGCCATAAGTTTAGTAGTTACCAAACTAGTGGACGATTTAATATGCACCAATATTCCTTGAACCACAGCAACAATCTACACACCTGTCATAACCACTGCTGGACTTTCTTTCTTCATGCTGGAGAATATTTGGGAAGGCCATGTTAATGGATCCCATTTTCAGCTCTTCCCATGTTCTTAGAACTGATTTTTTATTATTTCCAAGCTAGGTATCAGTTGCTCTTATCAACATGTCTGAACCAGTCAGAGTATTATTTTCGTTCTTTACATAGCAAATACACCTTATTCCTCAGAGCTAAGAGTGAAGTCTTGAGAGCAGAACGAGGATGCCTACGCCCACACAAGTAATTATTGTGTAAATAAATGCTCATCTTCTTCAAAGTGAATGCATGTGCTGGTAGCTCTGTGTGTGCCTCTGTGTGTGTACACGTCATCACTCGATGTATCCATCCGTTTGCCAGGCAAGATATATTCGTCAAATATTATGTTCCAGGAAGACAAAACAAGTAATTTGTCATGTCAGATTTTCAACACTCACGTTACCATCAGCTTTTGTTTCCCTGCATGTGTTTTTTTCAGATCACGAACATATCTGTGTTATTTTTTGCTATAATACAGGGTGAAGACATTGCTATTTCCTATATGGTACAGTAAGTAGAACAAAAATAGAAAAAAAACCCTTGAAATGCTAATGCCATTAAAGAAAGTATACAATTCACTGAAGAAATACATATGACACTTCACAAAATGAAATCTGAACAAAGTGTTCTGCTTTGATTGAGAGTAGAAACTCCTTGCTCTAAAATGTGCCTTTTGGCTAATTAATGTAATTAGAGTTTCACCCAGCTTGTCTGAAACAGGAAATCATCTTACCTTTGAACACAGGGATGTCAAGTGAAAGGCCATATTGTTCAGAAGAAAGGAAGTTTTGGTGCAAAAGAAAAGGACGGCTAAGAGGAACGATACAACAAAATGCTGAAGGACTCTAAAACACATTATCAGTACTTACACCAAAGGCGTGGGTGTCAGTAACTGGGACAATGTTTTCAGTGCACAGAATCTTATCCTACACTGCACAGTACACAGAAAGACAAAAATGTTAAGAATATTCTTAACCAAGCATAAGCCCTGATTTACTATGCTACCTTCTCTTTATCTTCTTTAGATGTGTAATTAGATATTTTATGTTTCTAGACATGCTAACTCTAAGCATTGGCACAACTACAGGTAGGCAACATGGAGTATCTGAACTCGTTTTTACAAAAAGGATATTGCTTCAGCATGTATAGAGTAGCCAGTCTTGAAGCTCGGAAGTTGGCTCTGACAGATCGATAAACGGCTTTCCGGAGACCAATAAGATGCTGACTAGGATGCTGTCCAGCTTTATTAAATGGGCAAGCAGCACTGACCCTGTCAAGCAAACTTGAAAAGTAAAATGTGATACAACTGTACAGATGTCCTAAAGTATTTTTAAAAGACAGTACATCAGATTTCTTATTCCATTACTTAGAAAACTTTTTTAAACCACTCAGTAACTATAAGAGGAAAAAAAAAAGAAGTCATCATATCAGTGATATATTTAATCAAAATTTTCGATAAGCAGCCAGGATTCCACAGTAGACAGCCTGATTCTACTCTCATCTGAGCCGTAGCAAACTTCTGAGGACATTTGTTTTCTCCAAAGTTTTCCAAAATGATACACTAAGGGTAGACAGGTCATAACATTATCTCTGATACAACACAAGCCCACTGTAAGCTTTAGAAGTTAACACACAGATATTTAACATATACCTCTTTATATGCAAATTTGTTTTTAAATAATTTGTACAGGAACAATGTGCTACTACATATTGTTTTTCATGCAAAACACTATATTCTTTCAACTTTTTCCATGCAGAGCCTTCCCTAGCTCAACAGAAATAAACTGAGTGGTGACTAAGATTTTATCAGTCATGTAATGAATGACAGCTGTGTTTGTGGGAGTCTGACAGATAAACACATGAAATGTATGCAACCATAAAAGCATATTTGGAAATATATTTTGGTTTCCAGATATACTATTTAAAAGAAACTGTGCCCTTTGCCTATTAGAATATTGTCGTGGTTTGGCTTCAGCCAGCAATAAAGAGCCACGCAGCCGCTCGCTCCACTCCCACAGCCGTGGGGAAAAAAAAATCGACAGGGCAAAACTCGTGGGTTAAAATAGTGCAATTTAACAGAACAGCAAAAGGGAAGATGAAAACAAAACAATAACACCGATAAAGGGATATGAAGACTCAATTACAGTACCGCCGCAGCCCACTCCCAAGTGGCGACTGCTCTCCTCGCCCCGGCTACCGCCTCTTATAGCCCGGGCATGGCTCAGGTGGGATGGAATACCTGCCCCCTGCCGGCTCCGGGGGAAAATTACCCCATACCTGCCGGAACCAGGACAAATATACTTCAGAATGGCTTTAGAACTGTAAGAAACTGCCTCATCTGGAAATAAGCTGAATTGTGAACTGGGTGAATGTTAAATATGTCTGTGTAACGTTAAGCTGTAGAAAAGTAAAAAAAAATACTAACATCCAATTATATCTATTCATATACAGTCTGATGACAAACCTATGACAAACAATGAAAATAGCCTAGGTGGACAGTTCATCCATTCTACTTGCTTGGACTACTTCTACTAGAAACAACTCAAGAATGAACATACTGCAGACAACTGGACGATGAATTGTTTGGGTACTGGGAGCCTGCTTCTGCTCCCGCCCTTCCCAGGGCACGCTGAGGAGGCGATTTCATGTCAGAAGTCACTATCAGTACCTGGCAAGACTGGGGTGGGTTGCTGCATTGCTAACCACCTCTCTAGCCCACTTTCATCCAACAGAAGAGCTGACTAAACCAGCAGACCTGATCCTGCTAGAAAAACGTCAGTCCTACTGCATGCGCTTAGCTGGGTCATGCTGCACATTGATGAGGACGTGAAATAGCTCACTGCCTCCACTGTCGAATATGAAGAGCAATGCAGCCCACCCAGTAAGCAAGGCTGGACACATACCAGTACATAAAATATGGTTAACACGAGGAGACTCATGCCAAATAGCAGTATACTGAATACGCTAGCTAAAATACCATATTAAAATAACTGCTTACCATATTAAATTATATGAGTAATATTAAAATGCTTTGTATAACAACTCATAAAGTACTTTAAAATCTGTATAAAATAAAAACAAACTCTGTTACTTTCCATTTCTAAACATAAATTTAAAACGCTAGTCTTGCCATACATTTCAGTAGGGAACACAGCATGTAATATAGTACATGCCAATCTCTAATGTTTCCTTAGCTTTTGAAAGTAACAACTGGGAGTGTTTATGGATAAATTCTCACAGCAGTTTGTAGCTTCGAGCCCTGGGTGAATTGTCAGAAGCAGGCTCAAAGAAAAGGAGCAAAATTCTTCTACCGTAAAAAAGAGAGAGAGATTTGCTACAGCAATGGAAGGATTTCCAGCTCCCATACAGAACAAATATAGCACAACTCATACCCAGCATGAACTGCCAGTATTCAGCAAAACAATTTGCTTTCCTTCTGGGAAGGCTTGTTTCAGTGTTTTTTGCAAAATAATTCTTCTTTATTCCAGTAATCTAAAATTAATATAACTTGCTACAAATGTCTATGTGCCAGACGTGCCATATCCCGAATGTCCTAATGTTCCATTTATCTTCTATGTATTTTAATTGGACTTACAAAATGTTATCAGCGTTGTGTATCAGCCATAAATAGCAAGAAGAAAAAAAGGTTAAGGGTGAATTTCCTCTTTCCTAGTGCTTCAAACCCATTTTACTTGTAAAGAACAGTGACTTATTTCTCCATTAATCTTCCAAGCCAAATTTTAAATCGGCTCTCAACTTCTAACAAACTCATATAGACACATTAATAAAAACCTCTTACTGCACTCCAACCTGAAAGCAGTTCTATAAAGATGCTATATGTACCAATATGTGTTTATAGAGCTTGATTCTAGTTTAAAATATAGTAGAAAGGGAGCATTTTGGAGAAAGGCTAATTATTTAAGTGACAGACAAGGAAATAACTACTTGATGCTTATTGCTGCAGCCTTTCATTACATATTCCTACAGTTTTCATTTTATAATATGCAAGACAATGGACATACTTTCATTAGCCAGCAGAAATTCCAGGCTGCAACCCACGATGAGGCTTTAATTGTCTAATTGGAAATGAAGCAATTAGACAGAAATACTGCCATTCCGTCTGAGCCGAGCACCTTGGCTACACAATTTCTGTGATCAAAACTACCCTGGTGAGGTCTCGGGCATCTCTACGTCGCAAAGCTTGTAGCACGCTGACAAACCCTAAATGCCAACAGTAGCTGTAAACACTTATATCCAGCTGCCTTTGAGAGCAGCTAATACAAGAAAGGCCTGATGGGGTTCTTAGTTCCTTTTCTAAGTGGTTGCAGTGGTTTTTTTGAGTGAGACAGGAATGAAGGGAACACAATGCTTGAATTGGTTAAACACAGAACAGTCACTACCAGACAGTCATGGACCAGTGAACCAGTGAAGAACTGAGCAAAACCTCATAAAGAATAATTTAACGTTTACAGATACAGTCAAGTATCAATTAACAAGGGGCAAATAGGGTAGAATAAAGCAAGCCCATAGGTATTTCAAAGCATATGTAAATTAGCCTATGAGAACATAGTAATGGATCATGCAACGGGGAGAAAAAACAGTGGTGGAACACAAGGAACTTCAGGCCAAAGCTGCAGACCCGGGCTTGCCATATCAGAGTTTAGCTAAGTACAGCTAGCCACAATCTGAACTCAGTACTACTTAAATGTCAGCTTCAGTATATTTCCATTCACAACATGATTAACGCACAGTCCAAACCACGCTGAGCTAGCACCATAGTAAAACAGCAGCATATGTATCACTGGACAGGGTGCCGTGCTACCTGATTGAAATCCCATTCCTTCAAGGATGTAAAATGACACAAGAAGATACTCATTAACTTTCCAGATGCAATCATTTCCATTGCCATGGGACTCTTTCTGAACAGGCATTAAGACTTTGACAAGGTTACTACAGGAGAACATACTAAGCTTTGCTCTGCTAAGGTTTATTGTAGCAAAATTCTGGAAGAAAAAAGGGGTAGCTAGGCTTTTGGATCATAAAGAAAGCACTATCTCAAGCAAAGGATTTCATGGTGCCCTGTGCATCAGCATCTCTGGCATATGTGGATGCAGAAAAGGACACTCTGGATTTAGAACTTCCTCCAGGCTAAACCAAACCAAAACTTGTACAGCACTGACTTCTTCATACTGGACAATTGCTCCAATGAGGATGCTGGCACAGTCAGACTTCTCCCACTCCATCCATTCTCCAAAGTCTTTTGAAAAGCTTGCCAACATTTTAAGTAAAGAGGCTATTAGATCAAGCATCAGCTTGAAGACCAGTCTGTTTTTTGTTAATCTGTTATCTAAGATATGTAGTAAAAGAACAAGACACCAGCAATTTAGACACTGACCACAAGTTCGTTTGCTTAAACTTAGGAAAAAATCCAAATGTTTTTCTCATCTGTAATTTGGACAAGCCCTAACAATAATTTCTTTTAAGAACCCGTTACCAAAGATAAGACTGCCTATTGCTTAACTATATGCTTCTTCAGCAAAAACCAAACCAAAGCAAAACACATAGCTAGGCAGACTGAAGACATGCTTATGCATTCCAAAGGGAGAACGAAACATTTTTTCAATGAAGCATACTGAAGGTATCTCAAGCTAGAAAATGAATTCAAAATGTTAAGTCTACAGTTTCAAGCTTGCATGTAAAAACATGTGCCTGAGTGCAGAGTAGTCGGTCTGGCACGAACAAACAATTTCTTGGTGCACACAGGGCAATTTTTTATTGTTTTTAGAAAGAAAGTCAACTGGATTTTAGCTATTGGTGTTCCCCACCTCCTTTAACCTTAAGTCTAACTGGCACAGGTACATGTCTAACCATAGGTTGTTACAAGGGAAGAGCATACATGGCTATGAGAGTGCACAGAAGGGGGCCCTTTGGCTTTGGGATCATTGCATACACTGAACATGTTCTGATGTCCTTTCACAAAGCTAAGAAGCAAAAATTACCAAATAGGTACAAGAGCCATATAACCAGGAACACTTTCACATCCCTTAAGTGGACAGGAGGCAAATTCAGCAGTAAATTTAAGTAATTTAAGACTCTAAACTTCTCAACAATTGTATGCAAGAAAAAAAAGTATTGTAAATTTTTTTTGAAGTGGGAAATGACCTTTGATGGTCTTTGCTGATTGCTGTGTTCTCGTTGCTTCAGACTGTTATTTGTTAAATAAAAATAGAATGGTTTTCATGTAATCTTGTTTTCTAACATATGAATGATTACTTGAAGGTCAGTTTATTTACACAGATTTGGTAATATATGATACAAAAAACCTTCAAACAAACAATCCTCTAAATGACTCCCCAAAAGAGTTAACTAAATTGGTTCAAAATCAATTTCTTCATGTATTTCATTGCTAGCAGCACATGAGATTTTAAAGGCATACAAGTTTGGTGAGACTTAATTCTCCTTCAGGATGCAGGTTTTAACACTGAGTTGTTAGAATTCATACTTTTAGTATGAATGGTAATTATACTATTTTAAGTAAAAGAAAAGCTTCACTTATGTTTTTCAGTAATTCCACTTGTTATGGTAGATAGTGTAGCAAGACAATTTTCGAAGATGTCTGGCTTGAATGGATCTGTGTATTAAATAAAGCGAAATACAGACTCACAGGGTAAATCCTCTGGAAATTACTTCAGTCTCTTGAATGAGTCGTAGAGCTTTCCTCACGAGATTAGTAAAAGCTCGGCTATTTGCCACTGTTTCTTCCAGCTGGATACAGTATTTTCGCAGGGACATTTGCAGCCTGGCTGTCCTCCATGTGCCCCACACTCGAAAGACTGCATAGACAAACAGAACTAGTCCCCAGAGCAGCCACGACGATTCCTTCCACCACGAAGGAAGCATAAGCAGTGCACTTACAAAGGCAAGCAGCAGCGAGACATCCCTGCAAACAGAGAAAGCACCATCAACCACAGATTTCTGAGGTCAAACAAGTGGGAAAATCATGAAGTTTTCGGTTACATTTGAGATTACGACATCTTATTATGGAACTTTTATGTAGGTCCTGAAGGGAGCCGTAAACACTGAAAACTACTCCCAGAAGCAGATTTAGATGTATATGTACCTGATATTGCTTGGTGAGTATACTCTAAGGAAACATTTATCTGGCTTTTTTATGGCACAGGTAATAGAATAATGTACCACTTTGAAAGGTCAGTTTCTCTTACACATGACTAAAAAAAAAAAAAAGAAAATAGAAAAAGATAAAACCCTGACTACTCAGCAGTATAAGCCAGGGTGGGTAGGAACTGGAATATCTGTACTTCCAGGTTCAAGAGTACAGTAGGGAAGGGCATGTTTCTTTTGGTAACAAAACCCTCAAGTAATGCCAGCTTTATTTTTTCCAGATTCTGACTCATTGAACTTGGACACCAACACACCGCTAGGTTTTGACACATTTTTATAAAGATGGCTTGACTAATCTTTTTAAATAATTTGGCAGCTTTTGAAAATCCTTAAAGAACAAGAGTTAATAGCATCTCAGTTCAGTTATTTCTCAAAGACATTTTAAAAACTTCATAAAGCTGTTATTTTCATGTAGAAAAATTCAACAAAAATAAGTAACTGCTAGAAAATACACTGTTTCATATATAGTATTGTAGTTGCAGTTTTGCAAAATTATTACAGTCTTCACAGAGATGGATGGGATATGGGCTTCAAGGTGCATAACAACTTCAATTTTTCAGAATTTTTTGAAAGAAAAATATTCATTTTCTTCACCCCTAAAAGCTGTGTATCCTGTATTTAGTTTTGGAAGTACTCACAAGGTGTATTTTTCCATTTCTAAAATAAGACATGATGTCTAGGTTTCTATTTTCTGAACAGTTTTGTGGTCATATTTCAACAAGCTTTACAAGTGTTAACTTTTCAGGGCTACTGATAGTTTCATTAAAGTGCAGGGTTAAAATACTCTAGATAGGTAATTAACTTTAAAAAGAGTAGGCACAAAGTCTACAACTTCCTTGGTACATTAAAAAAAACACCAAAACACCAAAACAACAACCCCCCTCCACACACACACAAAAAAAAGAATCACAACAGAGAAAGACTGGGAAGGATTTAAGACCTCACTTTGTCCATTTTCAGTTTCTGGTTAATCCAGGTCATCACGGACAGACTGAAGAAGAAAATAGAGACTCCACAAACCACCTTGGTAGCTCTTCCAACTTGTAAGTATCCTTAGAGTTCAAAAGATTTCCCTCATGCCCAGTCTGAATCATCGGCAAATTAATCACATTATTTTTCCTCATATCCTTCCCTCTTCTCAACAGAACAAATGACAGCTGATCACCACCTTCTTATCTACCTTCTACACATCATAACACTGTTCCACCCCACCTCAATTTTCTCCATTTTGGCCAAACAATCCTAGCAAACTCTAATGTTTCCAAAAGATTACATTTTCTAAACTCATTATTCTTGCTGTTCTGCTCTGGACTGTCTCTGAATTAAATATGCCTCTCCAAGTGGGGTATCCAAAATCAGATGCTGTATTCTAACACAAGGCTTAGGGAAACAGATACAAAAGTAAACCCCCGTGTCCTGCACGTAAAAAGGATACCAGGATGCTATTTGACATTTTTTGAATAATTTGCTGAAGCATTCAATTTATGCTGTGCAACAATGTGCAGATCCTTTTCTGAAGTAGTACTGCCTAGCCAATTATTCACCACTTTGTGTTTGTTAATTTGATTTTTCCTTCCCAAGTGTAGTATTAGACTTTTGTCTTTATTGATTTTTCTATTGATTTCAAAATATTTCTCCAAGCTACTTTTGAACTCCATTCTGCTAAAACACTTACAAACCTGGTGTCATCTGTAAGCTGAGCAATATTCACAAATTTTATATTGTACTTTATAATCTCAACAGTTAAAGTAACAATGAATAGTGGTAGGACTGGGACAAACCACTGGAAAAATCTGGTTCAAAAGTTCTTGCTTGACAGAGAGCATCAATAATGACATATTAGAACTTAAACAGTTGGGCTTTTTAACCTGCTGTGGCTTTATAATAATTTTATCTATTTTCCTAACGTATGTATGAAAACATAGTGCTGGGCTGTGTTATGAGGTATTTTCATCTACTGATTCCTATCCATTTCTGAGCAAGTGACTCTGTCAGAACACTCATCATCTTTGTTATTTTTCAAACACAAGTGGCAGCTGTTCGGATACTGCTTCGGTATTCTAGGGTGAATTTCACCAGCCTCTGATAACTTGAATGCATCTTTATAAATATTTTTTAGTCTGTTTTGCTGGTATTCTATGTCTGAAAAGTAATTGCACTGCCTCCAACATATTTTATGAAGAGCACAGCAAAGAAAATGCTTTTCAATTCAGTCTTCACAAACATGTCTCATTTATCAAAAACACCATTCTATAGATTTAGAAATTAATGAATTAATCAACTATAAGTCTTCCTTATAGCACGTATTAGGGTTTGGAAGTACCCATTCAGGTTCATGTAGCTATGTCAGATTAAAACTCACTCTTTCAATAAAATGCCCGAGGAAAAAAACATGCTTATGGGAAAATTAGGGGGCTAGTGGACCAAAGACTCAAAGACCTGAGAAAAAAAGTAGTTATTTGATTGCTGCAGTTTACGCAAAGAACACACAATATATTTTTTGCTTATTTCTCAGTGAATATAGTGGTAGATATTCTCTGTACAATACCAAATATTAGGAGTTGCTAGGGAGCGTAGCGTTGGAAGCTGTCTGTTTTCCTGTTGCTTACACTGCCCTGCAGACAGGATACTGGGGTCAAGGAACTCAATCAGTTCCACATCCTCCTGCAGCAGAACTTCCTGTTGCAGGATGGTACGGAGCGTGTCAAATCGAAATCCAACATCCTTACCACAAACAGGCAGGAGAAAAAACAGGCATTAGTAAAGAATATGCACATTCTTAAAATTAAGTTAGCAGAACAAGGAAAACACCCAGACGCTCTACATTTTACTGACAACAATCTGTTTCCAAAGACTACATGAATATTTCAGATATATCACAAGTAGTTACTTTATTTTTATTAAACTTGCTTAACTTTAAAACCTCACATATAACCTAACAGTTCAGACTTGCAGGGTGCGTCACACTGACTTTGTGATCTGACCTAGATAGTAACAATATCTGGAAACATGCCACAGATTATGCCAGTATATTTGCATAAGAATCAGAGAGGTACTATATCTATTAGAAGATCTTCAATAAAACAGCAAACACTCTTTTTTTTAAATGTCATTACATAATTTATGTCATTAACAAACAAACAAAAATTAGAAAGAGCAATATTACAAATTAGTCAACAAAAAGTCACCTGTGGGCATTTAATAATAGGGTCAATGCACTGGACTCAAGCCCCCAGCCAAGGCAGTGAAGTCCTCTCCTGCCGGATTCTGTGGCCTTTCCCAAGGGAACTCGATCCAAACATGAAACTGCATGGGACACTGAAGACCTCACACTTGCTGAACTCCAGACAAACTTCAGGGAGTAACTTACCCATGGA